ATGGATCAAAGACCTCAACATAAATCCAGCTACACTGAACCTCTTAGAAAAGAAAGTGGGAGGTATTCCTGACGGCTTCCTGAACATAACACCAGTAGCACAGACACTGAGATTGATAATAAATGGGACCTCCTGAAACTTGAGAAGCTTCTGTAAGGCAAAGGACATAGTCAATAAGACAAAAAGGCAGCCCACAGAATGGGAAAAGATATTCATTAACCCCACATCTGACAGAGGGCTGATCTCCAAAATTTACAAAGAACTTAAGAAGCAAGTCTCCAAAACTCCAAAGGATTCAATTCAAAAGAACTAAACAGAGAATTCTCCATAGACAAGTCTAAAATGGCTGAGAAACACTTGAGAAAGTGCTCAGTATCCTTAGCCATCAGGGAAATGAGAATCAAAACAACTCTGAGATACCATCTCACTCCTGTCAGAATGGCTAAAATCAAAAACACCAATGACAATTTATGCTGGAGAGGATGTAGAGAGAGGGGAACACTCCTTCACTGCTAGTGGGAGTGCAAACTAGTACAGCCACTTTGGAAATCAGTATGGAGATTCCTTAGGAAAATGGGAATCAGTTTACCACAAGATCCAGCAATTCCACTCTTAAGCATATACCCAAAAGATGCATATTCATACAACAAGGATGTCTGTTCCACTATGTTCATAGCAGCATTATTTGTAATAGCCAGAACTTGGATGCCCCTCACTGAAGAGTGGATGAGAAAATGTGGTACATCTACAAAATGGAGTACTACTCAGTGGGAAAAAAAACCCAAAGGAATCTTGAAATTTGTAGGGAAATGGATGGCACTAGAAGAAACCATCCTGAGTGAGGTAACCCCGTCACAAAAAGACAAGCATGGTATATACTCACTCATATATGGATTTTAGGCCTGAAACAGGGGAGTGCCAGCTTACAATCCCACAGTCAGAGAGTCTGGGAAACAGGAAGGACCCTAAGAGAGATATGCATGGTACCCCAGAGAAGGGGAACAGGACAGAATCTCCTGAGGAGATTGGGAACACAGGGGTGGGGCGGGGCGGGAGGGTGAGAGAGGGTGGGAGGGTGGGGGCTTCGGGGGGTGGGGAGGAAGCTGAGAGCAAGAGAGGGGGTGAGATGAGGGGAGAGGAGGACATGGGGGAGTAGGAAGGTTGTGTTGGGAGAAGAATAGAGGAGAGAAGGATGAGACATACCATAATAGAAGGAACCGGAACCATAATAGGTTTGAAGAGAGATCTGGCACTAGTGAGATGTCCAAAGACCTACAAGGATGACACCAACTGGCAATCTAACCAACCCACAGAAACTGCTGACCTGAACAAGGGGGAATTCATAGACCCCAGACTGATAGTTGAGAGGCCAGCATGGGTGTCAGGCAACAGATTAGCATTTATCCCTGGCATCCAGATGGACTTTGGGAGCCCATTCCACGTGGAGGGATACTGTCTCAGCCTGGACACATGGGGGAGGGCCTAGGTCCTGCCCCAGATGATATGACAGACTTTGGAGATCCCTCATGGAGGGCCTCACCCTCCTTGGAGAGTGGAGTGGGGATTGGGTGGGGAGTTGGGGGAGGGTTGAAGGGGTGCAGTGGAGGAGGGGAGGGAGAGGGAGAGGGAGCTGGGATTGACATGTGAAGCAAGCTTATTTCTAATTTAAATATAAAAAATAAATAAAATAAATAAAAGAGAGAATTCTCCTCCTTTTCTTTTTCCAAAATTTGATTATAGTTCTCTGAAACACCACTTAACACAATTCTACAATGTTACTAATGAAAAATAGAAGATTTGAAAACAAAGCATGGTTCAATACCTAGATTTCTGATGAAAATTCCTTCCAGCAATCAGCATCCTGTCTCAAAATTGCAAAAAGAAATGTTTCAGTGATAAACTTGCAGGCTGAGAAGACGCTAGCATCAATGCTGTAGACAGAGGATGACAAAGATTGGAAGATGACAGCACTCTCAAGTGAAACCTGACTCGACCCCAGATAATGCAGGAAATACAACTGCTCTGTAATCAGGAGTGGAAAAAATTTCTTAACTCCCTCTGTTTCTTCTTTCCTTGTTCCTGGGTGTGACTGTAACAGTTGGAAGAGGGGAGTTTCTTTCCTTGGCCCTCCCCTCAGTGTATATATACTTCTAGAGATCTATCTATTCATCCTTACTAAGTGATGGTGTGACAGACACACTTGGCATCTGAAAGGAACAGTGTGGGATGGGGATACACTTCAATTATTAGAGCACAAAGCCCTAGTACCCAAAAGCTAGATACGGGAGGATCAAAAGTTCAAGGAACATAATGAACTAAAGGGTAGTATGGGAAATACTAAATCTTGCTAGCAATTTACAAAAGATATGCAATTTAAAAGGATATTCAGTGATTAGAGAGACAGCTCAGCAATTAAGAGTGTTTGGAATCTCCAGCTAGGAGCCCCATTCCAGAAAGCCCGCCATCGGCGGCTCCTCCCCCAGAGACGCCCAGGACCACGCCTATTGGCTATTTAAGACCAGCTAGAGCTTCAGCGTGTGCCCTCATGTTCCCATTTCCTGCCTGAGAGTCATGGGGGGGGTACTCTGCATTGCATTGCCCTGTTTATTAAATCCGAATTTATTAATTTGGTTTCATTTGGCTTATTGCATCGGCGGCAGAGGAACCCAGCAACTGGGGACCTCATACCTAACAAAGAGAGCTGGCTATTCTTCCAAAGGACCCAGGTTATTCCCAGTCCTTACTTGGAGGCTCGCAATTGTGTGACTCCAGTCCTAGGGGATTCAACGACCTTTTCTAGCATCCGCAGGCACTGCACACATGTGATGTATAGGTAGAACACACCTAGACATAAAAATAAAGGACATTAAAAAAAAGATTCACTTTTATTTTTCGTGAAGGTATACCACATGTGTGGGTGCCCTCAGATCTCCAGACGCTGGAGTTACAGGCGGCTGGGAATCCAACTTAAGTCCTTTAGAAGAGCAATAAGGGCTCTTACCGGCACTGCTGAGCCATCTCTCCAGTATACAACTTTTTTAAAAAATGAATTGTTTGTTGTAATTTTGCTTTGTGTTTTCCTCCCTTTCTTGCATTTGTTGGATTTTTTTGGTTTGTTTTTTCTTCCATTTAAGGGATTTTCTCGTATCCTCTTTGAAGGCCTCTATAATTTTCATGAAGGTTTTTTTTTTTTTTTTTTTTTTTTTGGTTTTTAGGAGACAGGGTTTCTCTGTATTGTTTTGGAGGCTGTCGGTCCAGCTTGGCCTCGAACTCACAGCGATCCTCCTGCCTCTGCTTCCCGAGTGCTGGGATTAAAGGCCACCACCGCCCGGCTCATGAAGGTGTTTTTAAGGTCATTCCTTTCTGCTTCATCTGCATTGAGGTGTTCAGGATTCAGAGAATGTTTAAATTTTTTTAGCTTTTATTTTATATATTCTTACTTTTTTGAGATTTTACTTATATCATCCCCTTTTCCTTTCCTCCCTCCAACTCCTTCCATTCGCTCTCATTCAAATTCATGGCCCCCTTTCCTTTAATATTTGTTGTTGTTGTTATGTGTGTGTTGCCTATTTCCCTAAATTAAATCTCTCCCTCTCTGTCTCCCTCCCTCCCTCCCTCCCTCCCTCCCTCCCTCTCTCTCTCTCTCTCTCTCTCTCCCTCCATTCATCTCCTACCTCCCTATCTCCCTAAATATATAGATACAACTTGCTCAATCTGGATAATGTTACTTGTATGTTTGCTTTCAGGACTGACCATGCGATACTGATAAGCAACCACTTGCTGTGCTCCTTCCCTGGGGAAGACTATCTCTCCAGTTCTCAGCAATCCTTAGTTGCCTGTGGTTCTTTGTCTATAGTTGAGGTTGAATGAGTTTCCCCTTCCATGCAAGATATCTACTGATGTCATCTATGTCAGATCATATTTATATAGCTATGTTAGTGAGACTTAATGAATATAGCTTTTCTGACATTTCAAGGAGACAAAGTCTCACAGCAAACTCTTTGTATCTGGCTCTTATAATGTTTCCACCCTGTCTTTCATACAGATCTCTACACCTTAGGTAAAGGAGTTGTGTTGTAGATGTATCAGTTGGGATTGACTTCCACAACTCTGTAATTGTGGTTGTAGTTTCTCCAGTGGTCTCCTTCCACTGGAGAGACAAATTTCTTGAAGAGGGGTGAGAACTGTACTTGTCTGTAGGTATAAGGGTAAATATTTAGAGTGTAGTTAGAGATTGTATTGGTTTAGTAAAACGGCAGTTATAGGTTCTCCTCCAAGATCCATGACTTTACTAGCCCTGGGAAGTTGACTAGTAGGTCTCCAGAGTCACAGATGATTTCCCTCTTGCTGAGTGGGCCTTAAATCCAATTAGAAAGCCATTAGGTATAAACTTTATTTCATGTATTATGAGTGTTTTGCCTGTATGTCTGTCTGTGTACAGCATACATGCCTGGAACCCACAGAGGCCAGAAAAAGGAACTAGATTCCCTGGAACTGGGGTTACAATGGTTGTGAGCTATCATGTAGGTGCTGGGAATTGAACACTGGTCTTCTGGAAGAGCAGTAAGTACTCTTTACTGCTAAGTCATCTCTTCAGCTTCCCAACCTGTAACTTTTTTTTTAAACACCTTGTCTTCTCTCTCTCTCTCTCTTTTCTTACGAGACAGGGTTTCTCTGTATTGTTTTGGAGGTTGTCGGTCCAGCTTGGCCTCGAACTCACAGAGATCCGCCTGCCTCTGCCTCCCGGGTGCTGGGATTAAAGGCGTGCGCCACCACCGCCCAGCACCTTGTCTTCTCTTAATTTGGAAGTAAAAAATGTTTCTTAAGCTTAATACTCATCCAAAGTTGTTTTAACAAATAAATCTCAACTCTGACTATTTTATCTGGGAAGTAACAGATAGGAAATGCCTACTCTGTCCTAGGAAGGGCATGCAAATGCTGATGTCCAAAGTGGCCTAAATATTTTATTTTTATACACTTCAGAAATTGAGGCAAGCAAGAAAACCAAAACAGGAGTTTTTATTTGCAGTTCAAAGGCTAAATGGTTTAAAGTGCCAAATATGGATGAAGTACATGAGAATTCTTACATGATCTGGAAGTGCATCTCTGGTAAAAATGTACAGCTTAAAAAAACAAGTGTAGATAGTATTCACTATACGTGCACCCTCATTGTTAGCTTGGTGGGATTTTTAAGACAGTAAGCCAATCAGAAATATAATCAAAAGTATATTAAAAAGCTTAGTAAAGAAGAACTTATCACCAGTAGAGGTATATAAAACAGTAATTGATGGTGCAGGAAGCTAAAAAGATATCCCAGGTCAGCTTGTTTTCTTAAAGTGGTTCAGAGTCAAATAAGTTTCAAAACTCAAGATGTTGTACCCCAATTTTTAATTCTGTAATGTGCATTGTTTCTTTTAACTTATAAAACATTACAAAAGAGAAAGCACAGACACTTTCTCTTTGGCGTCACTCTGTGTGCTGCTAATCAGCACTGTTTATTAAGAATTCACAGAACTTACATATTTTGCAAGTGCCACAAAACCTGGTAACAAAAATGACAGGACAGCAGTGTATAAATTAAAAAGGGAAAGGTGGGAACCCCAATGTAATCACAGCTTACATTTTAGGTAAGAATAGCTAACAAGTTTTGCATGGGACATCTAGGCTGATGTTTACAAGTTTGTGACTTTTAAAAGCTAAGCAGGGAGGGAACAAGAAGCCAGGGGTGAACACTGGGCTCGGAGTTCAGAGACACAGGAAGCCACCTCACCTTTAGGTTTGGTTTTCTCTTTAGCAAAACTAGACTATATCGTCTCTCTTGGATCTTTAAAAAGAACAAAACCTAAAGTTCCTCCTTTCCTTCTGTCCACAATCAATGTGAACTAGGTATATTTCCTTTAGTATTTGCAATAAAGAAACATGGACACAGAGCAGACAGCATTTTGCAACAAAGTGTAATCTCTGACTGCTTCCTGGATGATAGCCAGGCCTTCCTCCTCTTCTCTCAGCAGCTGGCATGCTCCGGAAGCAAGCAAGCATCCTCACTGGGTAGTGACAGGACGACAGAAGCATACAGAGCCGACTGCAGTTCCTCAATGCTTAGCAATTACACAAAACAGCTAGGACAGTGACAAAGGCTCTGTTAAGTCAAGGCGAAAGGAGACCTTTACAGGTGAAATGTGAGTATCTGTTGGGTTTGTTAAAAAATTACATTGGCTATCTCTCCTCTGCAAAAGGAATAGCACAGTTTATTCCTATGTCTTTAAGATAGTGGATGAATGAGTTGTAGTCTGTGGCCACTGGGAGCTGACAGCTTGTGCTAACCCTGGGCTGGAAGGTGGGGAAGGTGACATCATATAGGGTACTTTGTACTCTCTTGACTGGAGACTTCACCACCTTCCTGCTTTACATTTTTTGTCAGAAGGCATTTTTAGTACTGGAGTAAGTACTCTGAGGGTGTAATAACTCAGATAAGATGGCTAAATTTCATGCCTGCCATTACTAAATGTATGGCTTTACTTTAGCCTCTGAATGCAAGTATTTTTACCATGAAAAGTGACAACTTTCAGGTTAGTTGTCAGAGAATTTAGAATCAAATTACCATCTAAGCTTCTTTTGGCTGCACTGCATGAGATCATGCAAATCTACTGTTGTAGCATCCAGTGTTTTCCATAAACATCTGTGTTTTGTAAGCCTCTTCAGATTTCTTTAAAATAGGATAGTGTTAAAAATAAGATAGTTACAAGGGGTAATGATGTATAAAATCATACTATAAGCTCTACAACCCCAAAATTAAGGATGAGTATGGCAAATATTTTTATAATGGGTATAACTTCATATAGGAAGCATGTTAATTTTTCTTTCTTTATGAGATCACAGCTGTCAACTTAAGTATTTACTATGCTGCTGGGACACTAAGTCACCTAATAAAATGCCTATTTAATCGTTACTGAAAGAACATGGTTATATAATCTTTCTTGGACAGTTAGTTTAGTGATTACTATGTTTTGAAATTTCTTTTACTTTTCCAAGTTCTATTTTTAAGAAGCAGGAATGTTTATTGACTTAAAAAAGTAAATCATGCTTATGCTAACTGTAGGTTTTCCTATCTTATTGATATAATTTCCTTTTTGAAAATAAAAATGTTGTACAGAGAACACACTTTGGGCATAAAGTAGATCACATTGGAGGTCACAGCTGTTAGCAATCTGAGATCAGATTTACGTAGTACTTAAAAAATTAATAAAATCTAGTGAAACCTGAACTTTTTATTTCATTGAAAATATACAGAAAATGAGAATTTGCATCTTTAAAACGGAATTATTTATATTAGTTATCATTAGATACATTGAGTCTTCCCCATTCACAGCTTATCCAAAGCATTCCTGCTATAAATAATGTAATTGAAGGATTATGTAACAATGTATACTTTAATATAAGATTTCTGTTGTGATTTGGAACAATAAATATCACACATGAAAAACTTATCACCAACTAGATACAGCAGCAAAAGAAAAAAAGCTTATGTACATATCACCATGACCAAGGTCTTTATAAGAGTTTATAGTACAGTCTCATCACAGCGTATTTCTACACAAAGTCACTATGAACCCTGTCTTGTATGTCTTAAATCTTGGTTTAATAAAGTTTGTACAGTATCAAATAATATCAAAAGTCTAAAAAACACAATGAGTTTTGATATCATGTTTATAAATTATTGTTTTATATACTTTAAAAAACATAAGGTCAAAAGTGCTTTTAAAAAAAAGTTGAAGTTGCTATTCTTGATGATAATGGCTAGAAAAATGCACTGTTCCAAGCAGAAGCTATGTAAAGGCTCACACATTTCTCAGAGGATTTCTTTAAGCTTCCATTAACTATGGTTACCATGTGTCAAAGACAAACCGATACCAAGAGAACAAATAAATCTTTCTGAACAATGACAGGGACATAGATTGGCCAAGAAGCTCAGCATGGAGCCATAATTAAAGGCCTGCCTACAAATGAGTTCTAGGACCCTGATTCCTGGGTGAATGTCTGTCACTGAATGAGACCCAACAGGGACAACTTCAGAGGTTGCTACACGTTTTTAATCTTTTTTAAATTTCCACTCATGACTAACTGGTAATCATAAACCGTGGGATTATTACTTTTCTAGTATAACTAAGACGAAACATGATTTAAAGGTGATAAATCATTTTATCTACTACTTCCCACAGGAAAACAGGACTAAAGATGCAGCTATTAAAGACAATAGTATAGAAATGATCCACGGAGAAATGAAATATGACTGTCTTAAATTGCCGTTCATCACAGGACCAGCCATATTCTACACATTTAAGAGCAAATCCATGCCAATGTTGAATTAAGTGACACATTACCCACTTATGCAGGAGATGGGAATGGTAAAACTACAGGCAAATAAACACACCAGAGAAAGGAAAGACAAAAGGAATATAAAGAAAAATCTTACTTTTAAATTTAATGTGGGATCAAATTGATGGGGCTGTGCGAACCAAAATAGTACCCTGATGTCAACACCTCCAGGCTGTTGAGCCTGGCTCAATATGACCACTCGCTCCTCCGCTGCTATTGAACTGGTGGTATTTTGTAGATAAGATATCAAGCAATGGAAGATGACTTTTTCCACTGAATAAGATAAGTTCCTTGGTTGGTTTCACATTGATTGCCTGAGATAACAAAATCATCAGCATTATGACAAATTATGAAGGTCTTTCTAATTTTGACAGAACAAGATTGTTGTTGAGACAGAATGGGTGTTGGTGTAGGCTGCATACACATACTTAATACTTAATGCTCTTAGCTGACAATTAGAAGTCGATGGATATGGATGCTTGTGCAGAATCATCTCGCCCTCTGACATAAATTTCACAGGGGATCTCCTCCATTACTCTGTCCTCTAGAGCCTGTTCAGAGCACTCATGTGCCTGTTTGAAAGTATAGCTGCTTTTTTTGAAGGTGCTATTAAATGTTTTCATTGGCTGTGGTTGTGCGAAATCATTTCGGAAGGGAAGTTCCATGGAACTGAGGTTGGTCCTCCTTTCCTTGACACTGGACGCTTGAGATCCACAGTGGTGGTCATGAATGCACCGGGAGGCCGTGGAGGAGCGCCGCATCTTCTGGTAGTTGTCAAGTTCTTCTGACAAATCCGCCAGGTCTGCGGAAATCTCTTTCTCTCTTAGTGAAAACAGTTCATAATGAGGAGGGTCAAATACTTCCTGGAACCCAGTTTTATTAAATGCAGTTTTGCAAGCCATAACCTTTTTCCGGGGCTGTTTCACTTGTACTAAAATAGAAATAATGAGAAGAACCAAGACAATCCCTGATGTAATGCCAATAATTGTTCCATGAGTCTTAGTGATTTGTTCAAATAGTCCAGCTTTCTTCTTCTCTGTAAGAAAGAAATGTTGGGGCTTTCACAATTCATTAATAGGAGTTCCAGCACAGACTGATTAGACATCTTTAGGTAAAACAGGATATTTGGTTCAAATATATCAGAGATAATGCAACTGAAGAATTCTTTTTTAAACAAATAGAAAATACTATTACCATGATTTCTGAGAGAACTAACAAATCACAATATAGCTAGCTAGGAACAGAAAAACTAAAGTACTTGGTTCCCTTACTCAAAAGGTTCACAAGTGCCTAGAATTTGCAAATTACATCAATATAGAAAATGTCAGAAACAAATACTCTTGATCTATTAAGTTTAGTTTTCTGTTATAAGGCAGATTTGAGAAATTCTGTATAGATTCCCATCTGTGGGATCAGGCTAACAATCCAGATACACCACATGGTCTACTGTTATAGAATGATAAATACTTGCATGTCAGGCAGTTAGTGTTGCCTTCAGATTACATTGGCTTACCACAGTAAGATATGTATTTATTCAGCTCTGAGGAAGATGAAAGACATACATTTTATTTATCCAACTGCATGACAACCAAGTTGCAGGTGTCTATTGTCTCTTATCATCACGTTTGACTTTCAGTATATGTTAGAAATAGAAGTAATTTGATAAAGAGAAATAAAGAAAAGCATTCTATATAGGTTGCTTTTATGTCATTTCAATAACCTATCAGTCCTTCCATCCTCAAGGCTATCCTCTAAACTATCTGGTAACCACATAGTTCAATGATAACGTAATACAGGCATGAAATACGAAGACACACTTCTGAATAACTTGACAATACACTCCAGAAAGAAATGCTTTTGTTGCTTTTTTATAACATCCCAGAAGTCAATTATCCTTTAAGAATGCATGCCTTTTATTTCAGCACTCTGGAGGGCTAGGAAGGCAGAGCTCTGAGTTCTAGGTCAGCCTGGTCTACAGGGTAAGTTCTAGGACAGCCAGGGCTACAAAGAGAAACCTTTTCTTCAAGGTTGGGGGAGAATGTAATTATGTATCTAGCTCTGTTACAGCAATTGTATACCAGTAGAAAAAGACATTTTAATTCCTTTCTTATGAAAGGAACCCCAACTCCTCAAGAAATGCTGGCCTTTGCATCAACTTACCTTTGCAGTGATTCTCATCCCAAGGGTATGCACAGTTTTGAACCCCATTACAGACCAAAGAATTGTTGATGCACATGTTGCTATGGCAAAAGAAAGTGCTGCTTGTACAGGGGGCTGCAGGGAGAAAGAAAACAATGTTGCTAAGAACTGTGACATGCAGAGTACAAATCCATTTTCATTTATTTTGTACTTAAGAACTGAACTTTAGCCTGGTGTGGAGATGTATGCTTTTAATCCTACACTAATGAGGCAGAAACAGGTGGATCTCTTAAGTTCAATGCTAGCCTAGATTATATAGGGACCCTGTCTCAAAATAACTAACTAACTAACTAACTAACTAACTAACTAACCAACCTAACTTTGTAAGAGTAATTTCTTAGCTTAAAGATCTTTTCATGAACACACTGTAATATACAACCAGTAAGACAAAGGTCAGTATTCTATAATTCTGGTTCATACAACTTTTTGAATGCCGGACACCAAAAGGTTATTTTTAGTGTAATTACAATATGAGTATAGATATGCCCCATACTTCTTAAGGAATTTCTACATAGGTGAGAAAAATTTTCCAAAACTTTAAAAGACCATGTTAGCAATTGTGATGGCTTATTATGAGCTGATGGGATTCTGCCTAGGAGACAGACCTCTGGACATGTTTGTGATGATGCTTCTGGAAAGGGTTAACTGAGGTACCACTGGCTGGAGCCCCTCACTGAATGAAAAGGAGAAGGTCAGTGTAGTAGTTCATTGGTTGGCTTCTGCTTTCTAACCTTGGACTCACATGACAAACTGCCTCTTGTATCTGCTGCCATATCTTCCTTGCCATGATGGATTGTCTCCTTAGACCATGAGCCAAAATAAATCTATACCTCCTTAAGTTGCTTTGGTCAGAGCAACAAGAAAAGTAACTAATACACAAGACATGGAGGCATTAGGGGCCTTCTATGTGTTGCATGTGGGAAAATAAGCCATAAGATATTGTGGAAAACTGATTCCTTCTCAAAAAGTTGAACACAAAATTATCTCATGATCCAGAAAAGCTATTGCTAACTATAATATATCCAACAGTACTCTGTAGGAGCTCAAATTGGTACTTGAATACTAGTGGAGGGCAGTAGGCAGAAGCAAACCCCCTGTCCATCAATGGCTGAAAGAAAATACGACAATGGAATATTAAGAAATGGAAAGAAAAGAAAAGAAATTGCTGCATACATGGATGAGAGCTGATAATATAATTCTAAGCAAATAAGGCAGCTATTTCAGTTCCCATAATTAGATAGTAATTATTGTATGACAAATACATATGACTTCATTTACATGAGGTACCTGAGAAAATTCAGAGATCAAAAATAGAACCGAGCTTATCAGGTACTGGGGAACAAAAACAGTTTTCAATGGAAAGAGTTTCAGTTTGGAATGATAAAAATGCTTAGGAGCGGCTTATGAGAAGGCTCAGTAAATAAAGGTGCTTGGTATGCAAGACTAGCTTGATTCCAGTCCCTGGAACCTACATAAATTTGGAAGAAGAGAACCAGTCCTCCAAACACATGCTTATCCTCCATACCCATCGGGCTTCCCACATACGTGCACAACATACAGAAGAAAGGAGACAGTAGTAATGGTTGTACACGCACAACAACGTGAATGTATCTGATGCCACTGGATCATACAACTAGAAGTTCTGGGCCTGGGAATGCATATGGCTTAATGGAAGAGTACTTGCCTAGCACGCATGTGGTCCTGGTTTTGGTTCACAGAAATGAAAAAACGAAACGAATTTTGTGTTATTGATTTTTCTGCCAAGATAAAATCCATTCTTTAGAATTACAAAAAGGACCTCTTGCTTGAAGAATAAGACAGATATGAGAAGCCAGGTCATGTATTTTCACACTCTGTAGGTCGTTCTTTCAAGAGGGAATGTCTTCTTTTCTTAAGGGCTACTATGTTTTTTTGCTTTTCAAGAGAATCCTTTTTTTTACTTGTTGGTTTTCCGAATCAGGGTCTCATCCTGAAGGCCAGGCTGACTTCTAGCTTTCAATCCTACTGCCTCAAGTCCCCAAGTGCTGGGATTACATGTGTGAGCCCTTATGCCTAGTTCAAGAAAATCTTCCATGTTTTCCCATATATAAGAAATGCCCTTCATTCTCCTCTGGTATGCTTTTGCAATGCTCCATGCCTCTCTCTTTGATATCTCGCTCGTGTACAGGTGAGCATTTATTATGCTGGGTCATGATGCAGTATGCTTGCTTCTGCTAAGTAAAACTACACTGCAGAAAAAAACTGAGCACAACAGTATCATATAATCCAGAGTGTACACACACACACACACACACACACAAGTCAAGGAGAGAGGCGGCTTAATATTTTCCATCATTAAACAAGATGGTAGAGGTATAACAAAGCCTGTCAAACTCAACTCTTCTAATTTCTAAAGATTGTACTTTTCAACTTATAAAATGTATATCCCACCTAAGTATACTTTTTATTTTTAGAAAGTATATTATTTTTCAAGGAAGAATAGAATATTGTGATCTGTTATGCTGACACACACATATATATTTATATTGATATATTAAAAGTTTCTTTTCTTTTCAGATGGCTTTGGTGGCACACACCTTTAATCCTAGCATTCTGGAGGCAGAGGCAGGTGAATCTCTGAGTATGAAGCCAGCCTGGTCTACAGAGCAGATTCCAAAACAATACAGAGAAATCCTGTCTCGAAAAGAAACCAAAGAGTGTAGTCTTGGGTGATGTTGGAATGCCTGGTCATCTCAGTGCCCACCAGCCACAACTTTAGTCTTTGCCACTGCTAATAGGTATTTATTGGGCTCTCAGAAAACCCTAAACAAACTCTGGAAGTGTGGTTGAATGGAAACTACCCCAAATTTCTTTGCTATGAAAGCTGACTCCCCTATAAGGTGTCATTCACTAAAATAGCTGTGCAACTGGTAATTAATCCATGGCTAGTTATCATGAGCTACAGTATGTTTCAAGAAACAAAGAAATACAAAGATTGTTGGGCATTATGGAGACAACTGTAATTCCAGCACTTGGGAAGCAGACACATTGTGAATGCAGCAAATGTGAAGATAGTCTGGGCTGTGTAATGAGTTTCCCTGAGACCCAGACTCAAGAAAAGAACCAGAGACTTCAATAGCAACAATATATTCCAGAGTTCTTGGTTCTAAGAGCTAATAGAGCAACGCATCAGCAGTCACAGTAACATGGGTCCTTTTGCCTTTAATATAAGTATAAAAAAGGTTCATAACTAATAACTGATTTATTACACTACTAACTTGTAAAAACACCATCACTTAAGGGATTACTCAAGCAAGGTTTCATTATTCACTCAGTCATTGATTTTTGGGTGCTGGGGATTGAACTGAGGGCCTTGTTCATAGGAGACAAGCATACAAGCATTCTTGCCAATTGAGCCTCTAATCAAGTCTCAAGATTCTATGATTCTTCAAAGTGCATGGTGGCTTCAAAACCCATCATGAGGTGAGAGGCATTAGTTATATAATTAAGTCACCAGACTGAAGGTTTTCAATGAAAAAGCACAATTGCAACTTATTTACTTTGTAACATTTGCTGGTGTACTTATTATAGTTGTGCCATGGGTATTATAAAACTGTATCTATAATGAATGCACTTAAAGTATAAAGAATGCCCTAGAGAAACAGCAATTTTCACAAACTGTATTATACACAATGAAAATCATATTTTAATTCTATAACTTATCTTATATAGGTCACAACTAGAGATCCAGAGGAGATAAGTTACTTTTAAAAGATAAGTTGAATGAGGCTATAAACATCATTATGGCTCCTTGGTATTCCGATCTACTTTAGAACACCACGTGACCACATTTTGATGACTTTCTAACTCTGAAGGTGTTGTAAAAGATAGATGAGGAATAGAGTAGAGAACCTATTGATCACTTTTAGGGAAATATTTTTAGTTTTTATTACATATTATTTAATTTTTAAATCACATCTTAATTCATGTATTGGGTGTACATGCCACAGCACATATGTGAAATAAAAGAACAACTTGCAGGAGCTGGTTTTCTACTTCTCCTATGGGGATCCTGGGGATCAGAATGAGGTCATCAGACTTCATAAGCAAGCATCTTTACTTGCTAAGCCATCTTGCCAGCCCATTAGTACAGGTTTTTTTTTCTTTTCTTTTCTTTTTCTTACAACTATTCTCTATATTATTTAAAGTAACCAGGAGATTTTACTGATATAGTCACACTGCTTTGCATACAATTGTGAGTTACATATTTGTAAACTTGTCTCATTGTGATACTTTCATATGTGCATATAGTGTGCTTTGATCATATTTACTAAGCTATCTATAACTGCAAATCTGCTAAGCTTTATGAGTTCTCACTACATAAGCATAGCTGTTTAAGGCGGGTTCAAATTAATAAATGGGATGTCCTGAAACTGAGGGGCTTCTGTGAAACAAAGAACATGGTCAACAAGACAAAATGGCTCCCTACAGAATAGGAAAAATCTTCACCAACTCCACTTCTGACAGAGTACTGACATCCAAAATATACAAAGAACTCAAGAAACATCAAACTACCAAATAATCCAATTAAAAAAAAAGGGTACAGATCTAAACAGAGAATTCTCAACAGAACAATCTCAAATGGTGGAAAGACACTTAAGGAAATGCTCAACATCCTTGGTCATCAGGTGTTGGGGAAGTCCTATGTATATGTTAATAAAGCACTGCTGGCCAATAGGAATCTAGATAGGTGGGACTAGGAGTCCAGGAGGACTCTGGGAAGGAGAAACAGAGAGTCAAGATGTAACGCCATGGGGTAGGAAGCCCGGAACTATTCTCTGGTAAGAGAAATACTTAGATTAACAATTATGGGGTAATTACTTAAGTCAGAGCTAACCAGTAAGAAACAAGCAAGGCCAACAGCTTCATAATTAATATGGCCTCCTGTGTGTTTATTTGGGACTGATGCGACTATAGAACCAGGCTGTCGGGAAGGCTTCTCTCAAGGAAAAGGCTGCCCTTTACATAATGGTGATCAGGAGTGGGATGATGAATTTCCACGTAGAATGACAAAAGCTTTAAAGGAATTTTAGAAA